GTCTAATTATCTACTTTCACCAAAACATTCTCTACTTTCCCTTCCGGATAAACTAGAGACCTATCAGCCAACTGTAATGTGACAGTGGTGGGATTAGGCTCTCCTACTTTCAGCTTTTTGTACACACTCAAAGGCATTAAGTTGATACTAGCACCTAAATCACACAATGTTCTGCCTATGTAGTGGTCTCCTATGGTACAAGGGATTGTAAAACTTCCTGGGTCTCCTAGTTTAGGAGGTATCTTACTAAGAAGATATTGACTGCTCTCTTGTGTAAGAGCAACAGTCTCAAACTCTTCTAGCCTCCTTTTTCTTGAAAGAATTTCTTTCATGAACTTTACATAAGAGAGGGCATTTGTTCCAATGCATCAACAAATGGAATGTTGACATGCAACTGTTTTAGGAGGTCTAGAAATTTCCTAAACTGATTATCTTGCTTCTGCTTTTGCAACCTTTGAGGAAAGGGTGGTGGAGGTCTTTTTGAAGCAGCAGGTGTCTCACTATTTGGCTTAGGGGTCGAACCCTTTTGAGTGGGTTTTTCAATGGAATTATTCCCTAAAGGCTCATCTATAGAGGGCTGAGTGTCTGATTCGACCAAAATGGGTAAAGAGTTATTGTGCACAACCCCTTGGGGGCTATTATGAACAACAGAATTCTGAACAGGTTCAGAATTTGCAGCCTTTTCTTTCTGCATGTTCTCCCCTTCTTCTTCTTTTTTTAATGTGGAAGGTCTAACCACAGCTTCTGGCTGATTTACAGATCTTCCATTTCTAAGCTCTATCATATTGCATTTCTCTTTATTTCTCCTAGGCTCTTTAGTGTTACTAGGCAAGGTACCAGGAGGTCTGGTATTCATAGTGTTTGCTAAATGGCCTAGTTGGGATTCTATGTTCCTCAGGGATGCTGGAATACTTTGCACAACAGCTTCCAAACTGTTTTGCTTGGTCTCATTCTTAACCAAATATTCCCTTAACAAAGCTTCTAAAGAAGAGGATGGAGCAATAGACATCTCACTAGGTTGAACAACAGCTTGCTGCCTTGAAGTTTGTTGGTAATTCTGGGTAGGAAAAGGTATTTTTGTTTGGGCATTAGAAGGACCAGATTGCTGCCCCTGCCCTTGAAAATATTGAGGCTGTTGGTTCTGCCTCCATCCCTGGTTAAAGTTATTGGGAAACATATTTTGGTTTCTATTTTGGTTTCCCACATAAAACAAAGATTCTGGGTTGGATGGGCAGCTATCATACAAATGGGGCCCACCACAGCAAACACAAGTTACACTTGTGTTTATTGCATTAACTTGAGGTTGGGTCACAGGTATTTGAGGTGCAGGAACTTGGGATTGGGATAATCTTGCCTCAATGGTTTGTCCTTGGGTTCTCACTAAATTGGACAGTGCATCAAACTTGGCTGAAAGAGCTGTTACAGGATCTATCTCATGTAAACCAGCCACTCTCCTTGGCTGATTTCTCTCTTCAGGCCATTGGGCATAATTTTGAGTCATTTGTTCTAACAACTCATGGGCTTGGTTAAAGGACATAGTCATAAACATGCCATTAGCAGCAGAATCTGCCAAGGCCCTGTTTTGAGTATTTAGGCCATTGTACAGGGTTTGTAGCACTGCCCAAGAGGGCAAACCATGATTTGGGCATTGCTTAAGAAGGTTCTTGTACCTCTCCCACACATCCACTAGTGTCTCTCCATCCCTCTGCATGAAGTTAGCAATATCACCTCTAGTTTGCACTATCTTATTAGAGGGGAAAAATTTCATAATGAATTTCTCAGCAAGGGTGTGCCAATTGGTTATAGAATTGGATGGAAGGGAGTTCAACCATTCTTTGGCTTTGTCAGCCAGTGAATGAGGGAAAATCTTCAATCTTAACACATCATCCGAGATGTTAGGATTCCTAAAAGTGTTGGCCACTTCTATGAAATTTCTAAGGTGCTTGTGTGGGTCTTCCATCAACAACCCATGAAACTGCCCCATGTTTTGAAGCATGGTGAACATCACCGGTTCTAATTTGAAGGGCACTCCATTCATAGGTTGGGCGATGCTTGGATCTAACTCATCCAACACAGGTATGATGAAGTCCATCATGGACCTATCATTATCATTTATGACAGGTGGGTCCCTTATCCTTGCAGGTCCTCTTACCCCATCATTCCCATTTACACTTCCTAAATCCTCCATTTCTTCAATTTCTAGAAGTGGAATTTGCCTATGTGCTTTCTGGGCTCTTCTCCTAACTCTAAATGTCCTCTCAGGTTCAGGGTCAATTGAATATATGAACGGGTGTGGAGTTGCACTCATGCACCCCTTTTAACTAAAACAGGTAAACCTGACTTAGCTAAAACACCTAGATTACTAACCAACATTTAAGCAGAACAAGCAAAAAAAATAAACACACAAGAACCTGCAAGCAGAAAAGTCCCAAGACAGTTCACAGCCTGACGGCTTTATAAGGCAGTAACAACTCACCCTCACACAGGGTGGAACTAATAATTAAAATAAAAATGAAACTAAAAAAATTAAATGACATAAAATAAACAGAATATGAACAGAACAGATTTTAAACTACCAATATTCAAGATACTATAGAACTAATAACTAAACAAAACTGAAACAGAATTCAAATGAGCTACACTAAAAACAGCAAAAAGAAGCAGTTCAAAAATAGCAATCACACATAAATCTGATCATATACGCCTCGATCCCCGGCAACGGCGCCAAAAACTTGTTGCCTTGCTAACAGTTGTGCAAGTAATGCGCGCAAGTATACGCGACAACAAGTAATATAGGGCTGTTATAAGTCCCAGTTATCGTTCCCACAAGGATCGTTGGCGTTTTGAAATGACTAAAATTTGTAATTGCTTAAAACTGAGTTACTATTTGAAAATAGAAGAAATAAAATTGTAAAGTAAAAAATAATCTAGAATGGACCTAAAACACTACTGTTCACTTTTCTTTTAAAATTTTCATAATTACTTTCCTAAGTTATAAAATAAGAATGAAGAATGAAGCAACTCAAATGACAGATGTGACAAAAAATTTGAAAACAGAATAGAGATGGAAATATGAAATAACAAAGGAAATTGGAAAATCTGAATTGATAAAGAGGTTTAAAAAGGTGGGTTGAGTTCTGGCTCTCCTTCCCCACAGTGCTTGAAAAATAATTTGATTAACAAAAAGCTCATCCTAAGATTCTCAGTTAACAGAATTGTATTGTTAATTTTAATCTCTTAAAAATTATTTTATCCCAAAGTTGCCCACTTCCATATCTCTATGCCAAGTGGGATTAGGACTCTTGAGACTCAGGTCCAATATTACATGAGGACTCATTCATTTCTGAATTGAGATTCCTTAGATGATTTCTCATCTAAGTCCATGTGTCTAATGCAGAATCCAGAATTAGTTGTTTCTCAACAACTAAATCCTAACCAAACCTCTGACATTCGGCCAAAATGCAGATAATTTTAAACATTAGAAAAAAGCATTAAACAACTGAGATATAAAAATTAAAACCAGAAAATCAAATATTTAACAAGCACTGAGGTTTGGGTATCACCTAAACCCAACCTCTAAAAAGTTAGCCACTATCCATATGGATGAAGCTTACAAACAGTAACAGAGAACTACAGAATTCACAAAATAAAAATTCTAAAAACTAAATTACAGCACTGGCCTAACAACCGGCAATCTCAGTGCTGTAAAGACATGCATCAAGTTCATCAAATGAACCAAAATCTCATTACAAAACAGAACTTAAAATAAAATAAAAATTGTTCAAAAAACAAAAACTAAGAAATGGTAAATCAGAATCAGGAGAGGGAAGAAGAGACCGCTTTGACTCACTCCTCTTTCCCTTTTTATAGGGTTCCTTTCCTTCTTTGCGCGATTTTCCTCTCCAGCTCAGCAGGTGTTACGCGCTTCTCGCGCGTTACACACCCGTGGTCCCCAACCGCTCCAAACTTGCATCAGATATTCCAAATGCAATTTCGCTCCGCACTCGTAACAACATCCACATCACTATTCTGTTGGTGTATGGCTTCTAGAACAATGCCTAAAGCAAGCTGTATGGTCACAGATGGTTACAATAATCACACTTGGACTTTGATTTGAGTGGCTGGTGGTTTGTGTGGGCCTTTCAGAAAAATGTTTCACGGCTTAGAGGAAGAGAGATTAGGAAATATGATGAGGGTGGGTTTGGTGTGCGGCTGTGGTTAGGTAGCGTAGTGGGTTAGAGAGAGAGGAGATTAGGGTTTTCTTTCTGATCCCATCAGCTTCCCTTTTCTTTAACTTGGGCCTTCCACAAAAGATCCAGCCCAATTCCTCCTCTTATCTTCTTCTCTTCCTTTCCCTTTTTCTCTAGGCTTTAGTATTTTAGGTCCGGCCCATCACTTTCTTTTTGCTTTTCCTTTTTCTGATGAATGTTAACACAATGGGCCTGTAAAATAACAAGTTTAAGCCCATTAGAATTTAAGCCCAACATAAATTTTTGGGGTATTTTAATCACAAAAATCATTCATTTCTCACCAATTACACTCTAAACCATATGTTCTAAGTCTCATTAAAGAGACTTATCAACTCTCAATATATAATTGAAATAATTAAGGGTGTTGAGGCTAATCCCTAAGTAAATGAAATTATATGGATCACTTGACATTAATTTCCAAACCCAAATTATTGCTTCAAACCATAGGCAATAATACCAAAATATTCAAATTATTCATCTCAATATTGTATGTATAAGGAAACTTTAGTTAATACATACAATCAAATCATTATAATACATGACATAAAATATTGACTAATTTAATTCACACGGTGCATAAATATTAACCTTCAGTCATGGGTTCAGAATCCGTTATACCCATTTATCTTCCTTTTGACACATGAAATTAATGCCAAATTATACAGTAGTTCTACTCCCTTTTATTCAATAAAATGATTCAGTAGCACCGCCAAATGGAGTAAATATTAACTCTCATAAGTTAAGTTATAATCAAAAACCTCAATTAATGTAAAATATAACGGGGCGGGGCGGGCTGAGTTTTCTAAACCCGCTGCCCGCCAAGCCCGCCAGCCCGCCCGGGCTGATTTTTTTATTTTTTATTTTAATTTTTAGTGTAAAATGTGACGGGCTTGGCGGGCAGCCCGCCCCGCCCGCCCAAACGGGGCGGGGCGGGCTGAGATATCTAGCCCACCTTCAATGGCGGGGCGGGGCGGGCAAGCCCGCTTTTTGGCGGGCTTTTGGCGGGCTGGGGCGGGGCGGGGCAGGCAGCCCGCTTTGCCACCTCTAGTCACAAGTCATGATGCACTGCAAACAATGAGCCT